TCCCGTATAATGAAATAGTGGGGGTCCCCCGACACTCATATCGTTGCAAACTGAACTTTATTGGGTTCAGCAACGTTTCATTCGTCTTGTAATAAGCACACTAATGATCTGTAAGAATATTCTCTGCTTTCCGCTGTCATTTTCAAGATATCTCTTCAAAATGCTCGAAGTTCAAATGTCAACACCGAGGAACCTGCATTGATACTGGAGGTGGTGCTGTTTGCAACTGTACAGAAGGATTCACAGGAATCCATTGTGAAAAACGTGGGTAAAACAACTCAGTTATGTTATCATTAAATTTTTATTAGATCGCAATTGTTTGCAAGTTTTGAACAATCGTTGATAATACACAGAGCGATTATAAAAATGGAATTTGAACAAGCAACATCACGGTTTCAACCCGGATACCTTAAAGATAACCACCAGCAAGCCCATTTTTGTTTTGACTGGCACAAACAGATTGCATAGATCCATATTCGCATACTTTGTACCTTAATTTCAAAGCCGAAAAAGATACGTGCCTATAACAGATCCAGATTCCCTTTTTTGAGAACACCATTCCTGGTGGTTTATTGCACTTATCATAACCGTAAGTAACGCTCCCATCAAGAAGAAGAACAATGACTAAGGGGTTTAAAACTTTGATTTTAAAAGATTGCAAAGTTAAGCATAATCTTTTCAGAGCTCACCGCATCCCAAATGCAAAGGAAATTCCGTTCACCCGCCTTTCTCTGCTTTGGGGGGGATCTAGACGTGATTTACCTGGTTTGAGCATCAGAAGCTTACCATTTTCTGCCGCCATCACACCAAAGTGATCGCTTCAGTATCTTTTTTGGTTTGTCTTACTCCTGTAGCACTATCTAATCCATGTCAGAATTCTCTGTGTGAGAATGGTGGAAAATGTTTTAGCTCAAAATCTTCATATATCTGCTCGTGTTCCGATGGGAGGTCGGGGCTTCGTTGTGAGGAGCGAACTACGATCAGTAAGTTTATTTTTTGTCTTCATCCGTTGTTGCAAATATATAGAAACAAACTTAGGTCAGTTCTGGCAACGAGCAGAACGAACCTGTGGAACATGATGTGATGATCGTTGAAAGCGAGGCTAGGTGATTTCCAAAACTCGTGACTACAGCACCATAAACTTGAGGGTCTAGCAATTGTTCTCTTTTAATTTTAAAAATTTTACCTTTTAATTCTCATTTCCTTTCCTCGCTAACTTGAAATCTTTGTTGGAAAGTAACTGTATACATGTTGAGCCAAAACATTAGATAGTAATCCTTAACACTTTGTTGAAAAAAAAAACGCGTCCTAAACAATCCTCAATTTAGCTGAACCTTTATCTGAGCAATTATTTTTTAATACAGTGCCAAGAGGGCCAAAAGCTAACAATAGAAGAACAATCATTTAGTTGAATCCACGCTCTTAATAGAAAGCGAAGCTCACTGACTGCGTAAAACTATGGTTTGGGTCAGACTTTCTGTAACCAGTCCTTGGTGGTCAAATAAGGTTATACCATTTTGAGTCACAACGAGTAAGAATTGTTGCATTTTTTAATAGGGCTGAATTCCTCTCAAGTTTTGAATTGGAGTTGTTAATTTTTTCTTGTTCTTATACTTTGCAGCCGCGAGGCCGTGCCAGAGCAACCCGTGCACAGACAATTGATTTTGCCAGGATAATGAAACTCATTACTCCTGTGTGATTAACGAAGCTGAGAATTCAGCATCTTTAGCGACCAGTAGTAAGCTTTAGCTTTTTTCTGTGTTCTGTTGTCCATTTTTTCTCAAAATCATCATTAATTTATTATGCTGTAACAGGAAGATTGTAAACATGATAATGGCAAGGAAACTTAGATAAAGTTCGCCGATTGATGAGGTATATCAAACGCACGAACTATACATTTTCACATTCTAGAGTTCCTTGAAAGTTTTTTAAAATGCACGCCATCACGGAGGCCTCGGATAGGTCCTTTTCATCAAGTTTACCTAGACATCATTTTTTCTCTGCAGATGGGTCCTCGCAGAAACAGAACGGAAATACAACCTCCAAGACTACTTATATCATAGCATTATCAATACTTGCATCTCTTGTGTTCCTTCTTATTGCTGCAGTTTTTTACCTTATCTTTCAAAATCGGAGGCTTTCTAAAGTTAAAGCTAGAAACCAACATGCAAACTTTAGCAATATGGCCTTTAGAAGCGATAAAGAGGAAACCCACAACTGTGACGAAATCGACTTGGGAACAGGAGCAAATCAGAGTTCAATACCAACGAGGGACAACACTACCCCAGAACAATAGCCCAGCACGTGCGTTTTAAAACTTTGTACATTTCTTAGCCGTCCTTTGCAAAATAAAAACGTGAAATCACCAAAATTTGCGTCGTCTGCGAAGCGAAACCGTGGCGGCAAATTATTTTAATTTACATTTGGAACTCAACGCTACTTTTATGTGTTATGTTGAGTTTGAGGTCTGGCGCCCTATGAGACGGTAAACACATTGTAGCCATTTTCGAAATTCTAACTAACAGTGGTAACTCATTTTTAATCGACGTCTTCCGTGGCGTTGCCGTCCTGACTGCTTAATTAAAGTCCCTAATAAATTACATCAATACGCAAGCAAATGATTAAAGAGCATAAAATCTCATTATATATTTGCTGGTGTCACCACATGTCTGGAATTTCAACCGACTTACACGTTAGACACACAGTGACACATACAAAACTACGTAGAGGGGAGTAGATCTTGTAGGCATTTAACTGCTGAACTCTTTAACCCTTTACATCCTCAATTATTCTTGTTCCAGTAAGGGCCGCTTATTTATACAAGGTGCAACCCAAACCACAGTTTACCACAAGCAGTGGAGCTCAGGGATTCTCTATAAGAGGGTCGATTTAATCAAATGAATGTCGTTCCACTACTCGTTCTCGGTCTTCTTGACATTGATCACAAAAATAAATGTTCATATAAAAAGTACACCTAAATTGAAGACGACTTAAATCGCAGTTTTTTCGAAAAACGGCTAAACTTTGTGAAATAAATTAAACGGCCTTAAGAGTCTACATGTGTTTTTTCTGTTAAAATCAAGCGTATCTCTGTGGAATCTGCATGCATCACCTATGCTATTCAACCTTGTTATTAGAGGTCACTGTCCCCTCATGAACGCGCGCGAGGTACGACAACAGACTTGCCCGCAAGGGATTATTGGGGAGCGAGCGTGAGCTTGGAGACCAGCCTGCTTGAATTTGGCGAAAGTCCAGATGATACGCTTCTTTGATGTCCTTAGATGGGATTGTCATCTGTTGCATGTATTTGTGTGTGGCATCATAACTAATTCTTTGCATACCTTTTAACGCAAGGCAGTTAGTTTTTCGAACACCAAAGCTGCCGGGAAAAACTTTTTCTCTTGAGGTATGTGACAAATAATTTTGTTTCCGTTTTCTAGCTACTCCGGAGATTCATGCTCAGAGTTTAAATGCGGTACATGGTATCACAACTAGCCCTCTTCATAACATTTTATCCGAAGGCATTAAGTGCCGAAGTGCTCAAGTGCTCAAGCAGTGAAAAGTTTCCGATTGGTAGGTGATGTGTATTGTTTAGGTGGGGCTTAAAACTCAGTATAAGGACCCAAGTTTGGTTTGTGAAGCGATCTCAAAAATAGCAACAAGATCGGTAGGATTTATGCCCTTGAGCTCGCTGCGTCAACCGTTCAACTGCAGTGACGTATTACTGGAAAAGGGTTGTCAACCAAGATAAATGGTTACGAATTTTCCGTTTTTCAGTTAGTTTCCGGACTGTAATGAAGAACTGTAACCGAGAGAGAGAAGAAAAAAGATGAATTTCGTTTTCTCGACCCGGAAATGTTTATTAAGATTTGCTCGATTTATTCTAATTTGCGTCTGGTTTTGAGCAAGATCACATGGCTTCGCTCAGAAACTGCAAAAGCTTACTGTGCATCTTAGTTTACTGGGAAGAAACTTTCGTGGGTATATAAACTGATAATCACGAGAGACACTCGGCTTGTTTTCCATTTTGTATTCATGATAGAGGCGTTAAATATATTTAGTAAGCAGTTGTCATATGATTCAATTTCAGTTTTCATAGAAAATATTAATGGTTCCAGACTTGGTATCTTCGGTATCTCTTCGATCTAAGCAACAGTTAGCTAGGCGCCTCCACTGATCTCGAACAGCGCGGAACCTCTGTAGACTCCACTGGTCACTACTGTATCGGATCGATTAGGATTTTGATAACTGGGAAGTGGAAATTTATCGGCTATGACGATTTTGCATGCGGTTTTCGGTTTCGATCGAATTTATTT